AGTGACACAAAACTGCAACAGATCCGTGTTGAGACTGAATCAGACAGCCAGCTCATTCGGCTGCAGCAAGTGATTCTGAATGGATGGCCTGGAGAGAGGAAGAAGTGCCCGGCAGAGGTCAGTGATTTCTGGAACTTCCGAGACGAACTCTCATTGACTAATGGAATCATTCTCAAAGGTGAGAAAATAGTCATACCAACCTCACTCAGACAAGAAATGCTCACACGTATTCATGTTGGTCACATGGGTGTCGAAAAGTCAAAGCAAAGAGCACGAGATGTGTTATTTTGGCCAGGAATGTGTAAGCAAATAGAACACATGGTCGAAACGTGCGATACTTGCCTGGAGCAACGTCGTTCAAACACTAAGGAGCCCATGATTTCTCATGAAATACCAACCAGACCATGGCAAGTCGTAGCTTCAGATCTTTTCACATGGAATCATGAAGAATACATGATTACAGTAGACTACTACAGCCGGTTCTTTGAAGTGGACAAACTCACCAACACAACGACCGCCACTGTAATCAGCAAACTGAAAGTGATCTTCGCGAGACATGGTATCCCAGAGAAATTTGTCTCCGACAATGGTCCACAATATCGAAGCAAGGAGTTCGAAGACTTTGCAAAGACATGGGGTTTCACACATACCACCACTAGCCCCTATTACCCCCAGAGCAACGGTTTGGCTGAGAAGACTGTGCAGATCACAAAATCGATGTTGACAAAAGCCATGATGGACAGGAAAGATCCCTATCTCAGTTTGTTAGAGTATAGGAATACACCTGTTGACAGCTTTAAGTCACCTGCTCAGCTCCTTATGAGTCGCAGACTGCGATCCATACTGCCAACCACAAACAAGCAGCTCCTACCTGAAATTGTCAAAGTCACAGAGGCTCGCTGTAAAAGGGCAAAGCAGCAACAGCATCAGAAAAAGTATTATGATCGTTCAGCGCATCAGCTGTCACAACTTCGCATGGGACAACCTGTTCGCATACAGGAACATGGCCTCTGGAAGCCTGCTGTTGTTGTTCATCCAGCCAACACAGAAAGATCCTATCATGTTCGCACTTCAGATGGTCAGGTGTATCGGAGAAACCGACGTCACCTTCTCTGTACAAAGAAGGAAGCTGTGGAGCCTTGTGGTTCTACAAACATTGAAGAAAATCAAAACAGCAATACATCGCCAATGTTTCCTGTACATGCTGAAATACCAGCACAGCCTTTAAAAGTCAGAGAGGTGCAGCCCATACAATATCATACCAGATCCGGTCGAGCAGTGCGACCAAGAGAAATCCTTGATTTGTAATTTGAAATTCGTCTGGGGTGTAGGCGGATCGCTGCCCCTGTGAGAGAACGAAATCTAAAATCTGGTATGGGCTGTCAGAAAGAAATGGACACTTTGTTCTTATATTAAGTGCCTTCTGTTGCAATTCTGTTTAATCCAGCACCCTTTATGTTTATGCTAAAGTAATGTTTAATAATTTAGATATACACTTCAGTGATGCAATGTGTCATTTTCTTTTGTTGTTTTTTTGAAAAAAAGGGAGATGTAATATTCATGTAAGCACTGAATATTTGCGACACTAATTTACGACTAGTAGAAGAGTTTACTAGTGATGGTTAACCTGTAATACGGCAACACGTTGTGGAAAAAAAGCTGGAAGTTGTTGGTACTCACTGTCCGTCTCCTTATTTAATTACTGCACGCCCCGTGCAACAAATAAAGTTAAACACAAAACAAGACAGCTGGTCAGCTCTAGGAAGAGTACTGGTCGTTCCAAACATCTTCCACTTACGGATGATGGAGGCCACTGAGCTCATTGGAACTTTCAGAGCAGCAAAAATTTTTCTGTAACCTTCCTCAGTCTTATGCCTCGAGGCAATCTTGTCTCGGAGGTCAACAGGCAATTCCTTTGTCTTCATGCTTGGTTTGTGCTTTGACATGCACTATTAACTTTGGGACCTTATATAGACAGGTGTATTTGCCTTTTCAAATCATTTCCAATCAACTAAATTTATCACAAGTGAACTCCAATTTAGCTGCTAAAACATCTCAAGAATGATCAGTGGAAACAGAATGTACCTGAGCTCAATGTAGAGCTTCACGGCAAAGGTTGTGAATACGTACTGTATGTACATGTGATGTTTTTCACATTGTCATTATGGGGTATTGTGTGTAGAATTTTGAGGAAATAAATTAATTTAATCCGTTTTGGAACAAGGCTGTAACGTAAAAAAATAAGGAAAAAGTGAAGCATTATGAAGACTTTCTGGATGCACTGTAAATTCAAGCAAAATATCACAAAAAATGACAACCCACAAAATTTTTAATTTTTTTTGTTTTTTTCCCCATCTATTTAAAATTTGTATTTAATATTTTTCTATAAAAATAAATTTGGGTTTGCTAGTTTTTATACCATTATTGTAATATATTTTGTTAGATTTAGCTTCAGCTGACTAATCTAATGTATATGCACAAATATAATATTGTATATTATAAAAATATAAATTCAAAAGATAGATTTGTGAGAGGTGTTTTTATATATGCTGAGCACTGTATGTGCATGGCAGTTTAGCTGAAAATGCATGTTTTTTCATACAACACAGGGATGAATAAATACCTTGTGTTGGTGGCTTCATCTACATGTTCTGTAATGTTTCAGAATGAGGTCAGTAGGTGGTCTTTTGAGGCTGTTTGACCACATCCAACCTTGTGAGTGTCTATATCATGAAAGCAATCCCATTTACACTACAATATAATGCATTTCTCTTTTCGACCTATCTAAAAGATACCTTTTATATCTGTATTTAGCATTGTCCACTTTTAATTGCCTTTTAGAGTTCATTTGAAAACACATTGTAATAGCTGGTGTAAATGGGGCCTGATATGCTACTGACTGCTAGGAACTTTTTCTAATAACCCTAACAGTGTATTGAACCAAGACTCTAGTGAGAGTTAGAGTTTATGCATTTACAAGGTTGCTATAGTCAGCAGAATGTCATGAAGTCTAAACAAAGAGCTTTTCTAATATAAAGGCTGTGTTTCTTTTCACCTTTGTGTGCTATTTGTATGTTATTTATCAGTCTGGCTGGAAACGTTGAGGTGTTAAAAGAGCACTGTGTGATCTGCTGAAACTGTGAGTCTTGCTTTCAACAGAAGTGAAAACAGCAAGTTTATGAATATATGATACAGAAACCACAGCCTATTCTGTCACAGTCCTGTTTTCAGCCTCAGTGCAAAAAATAATCTGTCACCCTCCATTTAGCCATTACTTCCTTCTTGGTTGCGTTATGCTAGAGTTAGCAACAGCTTGATGATAGCTGTTGTTTGTTTCACATTGAAACATCATAGATAAAAGTCATATAGTTTGTTTAATGAAGAAAATTAAAGTTACTGTATGTCACCTTCACTGGATGATGTGAGCATGTGACTTCTGTGCATGTGACACTGTGTTCTCAGTCTGATTCAGATTTTTTTCTTTTGCAAACAATTAGTATATACTGTATTGCCTATCATAGATTGCTATCTATGGCTTCCTGTTTATCTTTTTTTCTGGCGCTCATGTACAGTGCACTAACTAACTAAATAACAGTAGGAAAACAGTTGTTTATTGTAAATTATAATTAGTGACCCTACTCACTGAGTATTTTTCTTAATCGTATTATTCATCATGAATATGTTTGATTATGGCATGCAGTATACTGTACATGTGCATTGTCACGAGTTTATTGCTGTCCAGACCAGTTGCATTAGTTTTTAAGGCCCTGTGCAGTCTTCTCCAGCACATACCAGAAATTCTCAATAGGGTTAACATGTGGACACTGTGATGACCATTCTTCATTCATTTTCTTTTTAGCTTAGTCCCTTTATTAATCTGGGGTTGACACAGCAGAATGAACCGCCAATTTATCTAGCTTAATTTTAAGCAGCGGATGCCCTTGCAGTCGCAACCCTGGGAGACATCACTGGGAAACATCCACACACACTCATTCACACACATACATTATGAAACATTTTACTTACCTAATTCACCGGTACCGGATGTCTTCAGACTTGTGGGGGAAACCGGAGCACCCAGAGGAAACCCATGTGAATGCAGGGAGAACATGCAAACTCCACATCGAAATGCCAACTGATCCAGCCAAAGCTCAACCAGCGACCTTTCTTGCTGTGAGGTGATAGCACTACCTACTGCGCCACCACGTCGGCCTACTGTGGTGACCAATCTATTTGTATAAATGATGTCTCATGCTCCCTATCCCTTTTTTATTGTTAGTTATGCTAGTATATCATCTCAAATGGGGCGACATAGTGACTCACAGCAAGAAGGTTGCTTTTTCAAGTCCCGGCTGAAGCAGTTGACATTTCTGTGTGGAGTTTGCATATTCTCCCCATGTTCACGTGTGTTTCCTCCAGGTGCTCCGGTTTCCCCCACAGTCCAAAGACATGCAGTAGTGTATGTGTGTCAATGTGAGAGTGTATGGGTGTTTCCCAGTACTGGGTTGCAGCTGGAAGGGCATCCGCTGTGTAAAATTTATGCTGGATAAGTTGGCGGTTCATTCTGCTGTCACGACCCCTGATGAATAAATGGACTAAGCTGAAGGAAAATGAATAAATATCATCTTTTTAAAGTCATGAGATTATTTGTTAAATGTTCCCAGAGATGGGTAAAAACATGCTGGATTGGAGGTTCATTCCGCTGTGGCGACCCCGGAATAATAAAGGGGCTAAGCCGAAAAGAAAATGAATGAATGAATGAATTTGTTAAATGTCTCCACATTTTTTGTTTATGCATTTGAAGCCAATGGCCACCAAAACTGATGTTCTTTTAAATATATTTGTTTGTGTTCAACGCAATAAAGTCAGTCTAAACTTTGGGGGAATCTCTTTTAAGGGGATTTGTTTTTATATTACAAATGCTACATGGTACATCATGTACATGAGGTACATAAGTTATTTGTATTAGGTTGTTTTTAGAATGTTTGTTTTCTTCGCAGAGGAGGAAAGGAGAGTCCGAGCCAATGATAGAGAGTACAATGAAAAATTCCAGTACGCTGTAAGTTAAACACAACCTGCACAGCTCCATGCTTTTAAATGAAATAATTCTGGCTTTAATGTACATTAAATATCTATTATTTCATTCCCTGTCCACAGAGCAACTGCATCATGACCTCAAAGTACAACATTATTACCTTCTTACCAGTCAACCTGTTTGAGCAGTTCCAAGAAGTTGCCAATACCTACTTCCTGTTTCTCCTCATACTGCAGGTAATACTCCAAATCAATCTGTAATGTAAATGCTGAATATTAGAGGGCAGATAAGCAGTTGTTTGTTACATACACTGTAAAGATTCATCCTTTTTCAGTGTCTATAAGATAAACTCACCGACCACTTTATTAGATACACCTTACTAGTACCGGGTTGGACACCCTTTTGCATTCAGAACGGACTTAATCTATCGTGGCATGGTTTCAACAAGGTACTGGAAATTGCCCTAAGAGATTTTGGCATATTGACATGATAACATCACGCAGTTGATGCAGATTTGTCGGCTGCACATCAATGATGCAAATCTCCCGTTCCAGCACATCTTAAAGGTGCTCTGTTGATATCTGGTGATTGTGGAGGTCATTTGAGAACAGCGAACTCGTTGTCATGTTCAAGAAAGCATTCTTAGATGATTTGTGCTTTATGTGATGGTGCGTTATCCTGCTAGAATTTATCATAAAAGGATGTACATGGTGACCTCGGTTGTAACCAGTGTTTATTTGAGTTACTGTTGTCTTTCTATCTGCTCAAATCAGTTTGGCCATTCTCCTCTGACCCCTGGCATCAACAAAGCTCACTGGGTATTTTCTCTTTTTCTGACCATTCTCTGTAAACCCTAGAGATGGTTGTGCGTGAAAATTCCAGTAGATCAGCAGTTTCTGAAATACTCAATCCAGCCTGGCACCAACAACATGCCACATTTAAAGTTACTTAAATCACCTTTCTTCCACATTCTGATGCTCAGTTTGAACAGCAGCAGATCATCTTGACCATGTCTACATGCCCAAATGCACTGAGTTGCTGCCATGTGATTGGCTGATACCAATACCAATTCTAGTTGATGCATTACATTTTAAAAGACTTAAAGGTAACCGTGTGTATATTTTGTTCCAGTTGATTCCACAGATTTCCTCATTGTCCTGGTTCACCACCATTGTGCCTTTAGTGCTGGTGCTGAGCATCACTGCAGTTAAAGATGCCACCGATGACTATGTGAGTCTCCATCATACACTGTGCACACATACTGTAACTTCCAAACTCACTTCCAAATTCATATGAAAACAAATCCTGGAATAATTTATAGTAATTACTTTAGTGTTTTTAAATCATTTATTATTGTCCAGTACTTAAACAGACTGTACTGTAACATTGAAATCACCAAACACACCACAAGTACCACAGAAAGAATCAGTCAGATATACACACACATTTCACACACACACATCTGTTTCTTTAACAGTTTCGTCACAAGAGTGACAACCAGGTGAATAACCGTCAATCTCAGGTCCTCATCGGTGGCATGTGAGTCATATTTCAGTTTACACACTTCCTTTTACATAGTGTTAACAAGAAAAACATCTGCTATGTAAAAAACATTAATGTGCGATGATCTTTTGTGCATAGTGAATGTCCTGAACATTTATTCTTTGAAAATATTAATTAATTGTTGTATTATCCAAATAGCAATGCATATAAAAATATATTTTCACAATGCTAGATAAGCATGCTGTTTATAAATTGTTTTTATATTTACACATTTCACAGTTAATACAAAGTTTATACTGTAAAAATGCAGTGCAGAATAATTATGATTGTACAAGTGATCTACGTGTTATTTGTAATCTTTCAGGTAGCTTTTGTAAAAATGTCAACATATGAGTGAAAGTGTTCCATCATCATTCAGTGTAACACATAGTTATGTAAAATGCAACAAGATACATATTCTGATGTCTATTATCTGAATTTATAATAGATTATAATGGGTAAAACAGCAGTTTGAAACAACTATTTCAATGTGGCCATCACATGTGTTTTGTATTCTAAATACCTTACACTGAATGACATTTTAGTATGTGTCTACTGTAAATCATGATAGTCTGATAGTCATTATTTTTCTTTTAACTAAATGGGGACTTCATTTAAAGGTTATTATTTAGGATAATTTATATACATATAATGTTTTTATCTTATTATTTTATAAATATGGCAATAAAATAGCACTTTTCTACCTTTTCAGTCTTCAGAAGGAGAAATGGATGAATGTCAGAGTGGGTGACATCATCAAACTGGAGAACAATCAGTTTGTTGCAGTGAGTTTTCCTCTTTCTTCCTCCATGATGTTAATTAATGAATTAAACATGGTGTAATAAAATAAAAAGACAGTTGTCCAGCTCAGCAGTCCTGGACGTTTTTAATCCAGGGTCATTTATGCAGACTCACAGTGTCTGATCCATTTGCTCTTGAAAGCTGCACTGTAATATTGATCCAGTATCTCTGACTCGCTGTTTATGTAACTCTGTCTCTGAGTATAAACACCAGTGTAGATGTCTCATTAAAGTGATAAATGTACTTTTGACGTGTTAATTTAATAATATATTATAATAGTTGGTGATGCAGGGGCACAGTATGTAGTGCTGTCGCCCTTACAGCAAGAAGGTCACTGGTTCGAGCCTCTGCTGGGTCAGTTGGCGTTTCTGTGTGGAGGTTGCATGTTCTCCCTACTTTACATGGGTTTCCTCAGGATGCTCTGGTTTCCCCCACTGTCCAAAGACATGCAGTACAGGTGAATTGGGTAAGCTAAATTGTCCGTGGCGTATGAGTGTGTATGGATGTTTTCCAGAGATGGGTTGCGGCTGGAAGGGCATCCACTGCGTAAAAACCTGTGCTGGATAAGTTGGTGGTTCATTCTGTTGTGGCGACCTCGAATTAATAAAGGGACTAAGCCAACAAAAAAAAAATCAAACATAAAAGTTATGTTCATATTAACTAAATGAAAATTAGAAATGATCACCTCACAAACTAACTGAAGCATGAAAAAAGCTTATTTTGATGTCTAGTAATTATTTTTTGTTTAATTTAAGGCTGACCTGCTCCTGTTGTCCAGCAGTGAACCTCATGGCCTCTGTTACATTGAAACTGCAGAGCTGGATGGGTATGACTTTGTTTATTACTTAAATATTGTTTGCTGTAAAGGGATAAAGTTTTCCCCAAACTAGCAAATTTTGTCATCATGTATTCACGTGCTCCAAATCTGTATTATAGTATTTATTTAGAAAACAAATATATTTTGAAGAACTTTGAAAACCAAAAAGTTGGTCCTCATTGTATAAGAAAAAATATTTTATTAAAGTCAATGGCTACCAGAAACATTCTTCAGATTTTTTTTATTTACATCCAACACAAGAAAGAAACTCAAGCTGGTTTAGAACACATGGAGGGACAGTAAAAATGACAGAATTGTTCTTTTTGGGATGAGATATGTCTTTATAATATTCTCATATTCCCAGTACTGCTTAGTGCAAAACATACTTTTTTAATGTGTTTATATTTCAGAGAGACGAACATGAAGGTGCGTCAGTCTCTGTCTGTTACCTCAGAGCTGGGAGATCCCAATAATCTGGCCCAGTTTGATGGTATGTGATGTTGTATATTAAATACACTCCAGTTAAATGTGAATGCACTGCAAAAAATGCTTTTCTTTCTTAGATTTTTTTGTCTTGTTTCTAGTCTAAATATCTGAAAATTCCTAAATCAAGAAGAATTTTCTAGACAAGAAAAACATATTTTCTTGTTTTGAGAAATAATATGCCAATAATAAGTGAGTTTTCCTTAAAACAAGCAAAATAATCTGCCAATGGGGTAAGCAAAATAATCTTACGTCAAAAGAAAAAACAAGATTATTTTGCTTACCCCATTGGCAGATTATTTTGCTTGTTTTAAGGAAAAAACTCATTTATTATTGGCATATTATTTGTCAAAACAAGACAATATGTTTTGCTTGTCTAAAAAATGCCTCTTGATATAAGAAATTTTAGATATTTAGACTAGAAACAAGACAAAAAATCTAAGCAAGAAAAGCATTTTTTGCAGTGTGATGGTTGGTATAAATAAGAGAGAGATGAGAGCTTGGGTGAACTGGTGAATTAGAGAATGTGTGTACAGTACATTTAAAATTTTGCAGAATCACCTGAAATATTAAGAATAGAAATGGTATATTTTAGGGTTTTGATAGCACTGTGTGTATTTATATTCACTACATCTGTTCTCTATTTTAGCACAAATTCAAATCAGATAACAGCATAAAGCCAAAACGACACATGCTTAATGGTTCAGGGTTGACTGTGAATAATGCAACATACTTTTGTGAACTGGAATATTCAAACTGACTCAATAGTATTATTGGCGGCATGGTGGCTCAATGGTTAACACTGTTGCCTCACAGCAAGAAGGTCACTGGTTCGAGTCCTGGCCAGTTAGCATTTTTGTGTAAAGTTTGTATACTCTCCCCGTGTTTGCGTGGTTTTCCTCCGGGTGCTCCGGTTTCCCCCACAGTCTAAAGACATGCTGTATGAGTTGAATAGTGCATGAGTGTTTGTATGTGAATCAGTGTGTATGGAGGTTTACCAGTACTGTGTTGTGGCTGGAATAGTTGACAATTCATTCTGCTGTGAGGACCTCAGAAGTAGAGACTAAGCAGAGACTAAAGACATTTTTTAAGGAAAATGAATGAATGAATGAATGAATGAATGTATAGCATTAAACCATTTGATGAAATGTACCATAATAAAACAAAATACAATTATAATCAAATAATGCAGAGCTTCACGGCACCTTCATTTACATAAACTGCTGCCATTACAATGCGAAAAAAAAACATTGAGTACGTTTACATAGACACCAATAATCCAATTTCAATGCCATTAAGACAGTATTATGATTAAAAGTCTACCATGTAATCAACAATTTTTGATAAATTTAATCCGATTGAGGTCATAATCGAAGTAAACTAATCAAATTAAAAGGTGTGGAGTATGCCAATTTTAGTTGCATTATTGAAGTGCAGTCCAGAGTTATAAACACAATCAAACTATTACCCTCGTGTAGGATTTTCGCCGCATTTTGCGACTGGATATTTTATATACATACAGCAGTTTGACACTATTCTCTGCACCCACCGAGTCAGTAAAGGACCACAGACAAACACATTGTGAAATGCAGAGGTTTTTTCCCCATATGGCATGTGGTATCAAATTCCATTAAAACTACACTCTTCCAGCAGTTCATGCTCACGTAAAATATCTTGTTAGTCATGGGAGTATGCATGAAATGTTCCTGAATGAAAGTGAAAGTGCCAAACTGCAGGTAAAGTTGACAAATTACAAATGAAACACCCTAAATTACAGAAAACTCTGGAGGAAATGTGGATTAAGCGGTGACGCAATGATGTTAATCGAATTATGTGCTGTAACATGTAAAACAGCATCATGAAAGGTATATTCAGAAAGCAACTTATGTAAACACTTTAATCATATTATTGTCTCATTCAGATGAATGCACATAATTCAATTACTGATGTCCATGTAAACATAGTAATATATATTAAATGAAATGCATCGTATCACTGAACCTTCACTTAATAAATTGCCACCCTGATACTTAAAATAAAATAAACTTATAACATTTATAATCAAATGAATGCATAACTTTACTGCACCATTTGAGAAATTACTATAATAAGTAATAAAATAAACTGATTAATATGTATATTTTTTATTCATAAATGTTTTATTTGAATGGCTAAATTCAATGCTGTGCTATGCCAATGCAGAATGCAACAGAGAGAGAGAGGAAAACCATATACCGAGTCGACATGTTTAATGCAGTAAATGTGGTGGACAGTTTCTCTGCAACATTTCTTTAACACTGCCACACACACTCACACCAACAAATGAACATATACCATCATACTTGTGTCAGCACAGACCACTTCCTGTTTTTAACAACTATAAAAAATTCCAAATCTCACTAACTGTACAAAGGCCCAAGATGCTGAATAATGCATATTCAAAGAAATGTCAGTCTTTTGATATTTTTTTTACATGTGACCTCATTTTTCCTCTTCAGGAGAAGTGGTGTGTGAGCCTCCCAACAACAAGCTGGACCGTTTCTGCGGGACGCTGTACTGGAGAGAGTGTAAATACCCGCTCAGTAACCAGAACATGCTGCTCCGTGGCTGTGTGCTGCGCAACACTGAGAGCTGCTACGGCCTTGTCATATTCGCTGGTCAGTGTGTGCACTTGTTTAAATGAATTTTACCCCACAAGCATTTTGAACATTTGAGGGGGACAAAATTATTTTGAACCTTTTTTTGGTCATTTTATTCAAAGGAGTCAAAATTTAATTAAACTAATATTTGAATTATGAAATACACATAAAAGTGAGAATGTGTGTAATATGCTGAATATTGTCTCTTCACATAATGTGTGTGTGAGATGGTTCTGTTGTGGTTTAATGTGCTGACTATCATTTCCAATACTAAAATCAGTGTGATACTTTGCAAAGGAAGTTTGCATTATTGATATGCCTCCATTCAACTGTTGTTAATATATATTTGTATATACAGTAGGGTCAATAAGTATCAGGCTGTGATTTTCAGTATAGGTGCATTTCCACTGTAGAGACGGAATCTAATAATAAAAATCCTAAAATCATGTTGTATAATATTTTTAACAATTTATTTGTAAATGAATCACTTGCTTTTAAGCCAGATTTCTGACCCTCAAAGACCTGTTATTTTGCTTTTAGATAGTCCAGCTACATTCTGCTCTTGATTCTGAGTAGCAACATGGGCAAAACCAAAGAGCTGTCAAAAGACACAAGAGACAAAATCGTAGCCCTTCAAGGGGATAATTGCCAAGCAGCTTGGTGAAAAAACAACTGTTGGAGCAATTGTCAGAAAATAAAGGAGGTTAAAGATGACTGTCAATGATGGCCCCTCAGAAGATATGTCCTAGTGGGTTATCAATGATGCTAAAATGGTCAAGAATCAGCCCAGAACTACACTGGAGGAGCTAGTTAATGCCATGAAGAGAGCTGGGACCTCTGTTTCCAAGGCTATTATCGGTGATACACTAAGATGTCATTTTAAAATCATGCATCAAATGAAGGTTCTCCTGCTTAAGTAAGCCCATGTCCAGACCTGTCTGAAGTTTGCCAGGGACCGTCTGGATGATCCAGAGGAGTCATGGGAGAAAGTCCTGTGGTCAGATTAGACCAAAGTAGATATTTTTGGTTTTAACTCCATTCGCTGTGTTTGGAGGAAAAATAATGATGAGTATCATCCCAATAATACAATACCTATAGTGAAGCATAAAACTGGAAGTATCATGCTCCGGGGGTGTTTTTCTGCACAGTGGACTGGATGACCTCACTGTATTAGGGAGAGGATCAACAGGGCCATGTATTGTGAGATATTGGGCAAAAACCTCCTTCCCTCTGTCAGAGCATTAAAGATGGGTCGTGGCTGGGTCTTCCAACATGACAATGGCTTTAAGCACAGAGCCAATAAAATTAAAGAGTGGCTCCATAAGAAGCATATCAAGGTTCTGAAGTGGCCAAGCTGGTCTCCAGATCTTAATCCAATAGAAAATCTTTGGGACCTGAAACTCTGTATTGCTCATGACAGCCTCGAAATTTGACAGATCTAGAGAAGATCTGTGGAGGAGTAGGCCAAAATCCCTTTTGCATTGTGTGCAAACCTGAACTACAGGAACCGTTTGACCTCTCCAAATATTAAACATTTTTGTCTCAAGTGATTAAATACTTATTTGACACACTCATTTACATATAAATTGTTAACAAAATCGTACAATGTGATTTCTGGATTTTTATTTTAAGATTCTCTCACAGTGGAAATGCATCTATGCTGAAAATTCTAGACCCCTCTATAATGTCTAAGTAGAAGATCTTTAAAAATTACAGAGTGATCAAATATTTATTGAGCTCACTGTATATAGACGTTTTATATATTTGACTTTGATCCTCAGAGATCAGCAGTTCAACTGGGTTGTAGGTTGCCAGGTTTTTGCATGATGTACAGTTGTGTGAGTAGGATGTGTTTCATAGAAAACCTGGCAACTGGACTTGAAAAAATGTAAATATAAAAAAAATATAAAAATATATTGATGTGATTATTCAGATAACAATGTTTGGTCATACAATTTTCGGGAGTTTCCTGTGAGAAATAACAAAATGGCAGTCTAAAACTTTTTCATTGATAAAAACGAAAACATTCAAAGTAATACTTGTTTTGGCATCCATGAATAAAACAGCACTGCCTTCTTTGATTTGATTTAACATTAAAGAGCAGAGTCAGGTCGGCGCCAATAGCCCAATGGTCTCTAACTCAATTCCTGGAGGGCCACAGCTCTGAGTAGTTTAGCTTTAACCACCTCCAACTCACACCAGCCTAATATTCTCTAGTAGTCTTGAACACCTTGATTAGTTTAAAACAGCTGTGTTTGATTAGGAATGGAACAAAACTGTGCAGATCTGCGGCCCTTCAAGAATTGAGTTTGAGACCTATGGCCTAGTGGCTAGTGCATCAGCATATAGCACTTAGATGCTCAGGGAGATCCAAGTCAGATTCCCAGCTTGAGGTCCTTTGTCAATCTTTCTACTCTTGCTCTGCTCCCTTCACTTTCTTGTCTGTAATATCCATTTTCTTCATATGTTAAAGGTAAAAAAAATATTACTTTTGTTTTTAAAGAGCACAGTCAGTGTGATCTGGTTTACATTACTGTCAGAGCTGTTTTTGGATGTTCATACGCAAGATGCTGTAGAAAACAAGAGACACAATATTTACATAGGAAAACATTTGACTGTGCACAGTGGATTTGACCTTTGTGTGCTGTTGGGGATGCTTTTATCCACTTTAGGGTGATTTTGAGTCTTAATTTGGCCACAACTTTCTCTGTGTTTCAGCAAATAGAATTATTCTTGGTGACAGATGTTATTTTGAAACATATTTTTGGGGAATAAATGACAATGTGAACAATAATTTAAGCAGAACTAAATGCTTCATTTTTTTTTTTTTTTTGGACTGTACCAGATAAACTGAGAAAATGAAGGGGTGGATTGGGAGACCTCAATATGTCTGTGGCAGTTACAATTTAACCTATTATTTTTTGATTGACCTCAGGTCCTGACACCAAACTAATGCAAAACAGCGGACGGACAAAGTTCAAGCGAACAAGTATAGACAGACTGATGAATACACTGGTGTTGTGGGTGAGTAATAAGTAATTTTTGACTGAAAATAAATAGGCACACATTTGAAGATTTGAAATTAATCCAGTTTACATTTACGTCATCAGATTTTTGGGTTCCTGGTTTGTATGGGAGTGATCTTGGCCATAGGAAATGCAGTTTGGGAGAAGGAAGTTGGTGCTTTGTTCCAAAGTTTTTTACCCTGGGATCCTCCAGTGGACAACTTCCTGTTCTCCGCATTCCTGTCTTTCTGGTCCTACGTCATCATCCTCAACACAGTGGTGCCAATTTCGCTCTATGTCAGGTGAGAAACAGAGAGCAACATGTGGAGTGTTAAAAAAAATTAAAAAAAACATTATTGAAGGAAAGTGCAACCCTCAAAACATTTAGATTATCAGAAGCTCAATCTAAATAATACTATAATAGTAATATTACTATAATATTTTAAAATGTATAAGGTTTGTGAGTTATTTTGTACAATTTGGTATAATTGTGTTTATTTTGTAATTGTCTGTGAGGTAAGCACAACAATGAAAAGTTTGGTCAATTGAATTAGTCAAAAATGTTTATTGTAGTTATTATAATTTGCAGGGTATTATTCTTAATTTACTTATATAATCAATTATTTAATTGTAATCTATTAATATTGTTGTGTCTGCCTTATTATCACTAAAAATCCTTTTTGTTTACTGAAATACTTCAGAAATGGCAGTTAAATAATTTATAAATATGAGTTTAAAGAGCCATGAAACCCCTCTCGTTTGGTTCAAGTCTACCTCAGAAGAGTAGAGGAAAAGAGCTGAGCAAACAACTGACCTAAACCTTGAGATGCATGATTTTATAGTTTACAATGTTAAAATGCAAAGAAAAAACATTAATTAATAAAATGTCCTGCTACATTTGTTATTTGTAATTTCATGTACACATAACCACATTTTGTTATTTCATTATAAAGATAATCATGTTTATTAAAACACTATAAATGAGAAATGCAATCCTCAATCCCTCTGTCTTTTCCAACTATTAGTCCTGCCAGTAATCTGAAAGATTTTTAAACATAGGCGAACACAGTAGCACGGATATAGGCGATGTTACTGAATGGTAACAAACTCAACCGATAAAAGACAAAGTTCATCAATCTTCAATTCTCGTACATCTCTACCAACAAAAATGCTTGCTGCAAACCATCAGCTTTGACAGCATCGCAGGGAAAAACATGCAAACAACCCTGTGGATCATGGAAACAAACACATATGACCCATGCTGTGCGCAGACGTTGTCTCACCCAGTCTGGTTCTCACAGCTTGGCAGGTCTGCCTTGCCTTCAGAAAACACTTGCTCTCATGAATAATTAAGACGCAGGGTATTCTCAGAGAATAAGAAAGCTATGAATAATAATGAGAAATGGGCACGTCCTCACCGGACAGGCAAATGTGCAACGGAAGATGAAATTAGCTAAAAAAAGCTTAAAATTATTCAGTTTCCCCCACAATTAAAGGTGACAGGTGCTATCGTTGTCTTAACTGATGCTCAGCACACAAATCTGTGTCTTGAACCTTCAAGGACTGTTTAGCATTAAATAAGTAACTGGAAAATATAAAACTGAAGCTGATAAAAATATATATATATATTTTTTTTTTTTACATAAATGTCTTAGTATAATAAATATAACAGTATAACAATAATCCCCAAAAAAGTATAATAATAAAAAAGGATTTAGTAGTTAACTGTAACACACGCTATTTTGCAGTATAATATTCCAACTTATACGAAAATGCCCTGAATGCTGCAGATTAATTGAAGATATAAAAAGGCATAGAAATGCACAATTTCAAATCTGAAGACCCAAACAGCTCTGAACAGAATTCCAAGTTGTCAACTTTAAAAGAAGGTGATTGTGTAGCATTAGTACAATCTACTTTTCATTTAGCTCGGTTGCTATTTTATTTCTCTGTTGCTGTATTACTTTCTACAAAAATCCAAAAATGTATTACATTTATGTAAAAATGGCTTTTCAAATCTTAAAATGTATCTTCTTTGATTTAGATGCATTTTTTTAAGTATCAGCTTCAGTTAATTTTATGCTTGAAACATCTTTTATTTGTTATTCAGTTTATATTATTTTTATTTATTTTGTTGTTTTTTATATTTCCTCAGACTTTCTCCAACAGGTAAGAGTTAAACCCTGTGGTAGACTTTCCTTTTTTTCTTTCTCTGCTATAACCACAGTTTCCCATATAACACAGTCCATCTATAACACCACTAAAATCCTGAACCAAGCCCTTTTGCACTGGCCCTGTAAATGACCTTTAACGCTGTCCAGTCAATGTAACTCTCCTAAAAGTCAGACAGAAATAACTGCAGCATCATGGCACAGCACATGCACACTGGTTTATGAAGTCTTTATGAATTAACATTGTCAGATACTTCTTTTAATCCTCATGCAGGCTGCTGTGCTATTTTCTGTTTTTAAATGTGCACTAAATAACCTGTGGATCCATGTGTGTTTTTTGTGTACATTACCAGTCAAAAGTTCAGAATTAGTATGTTCTTTAAGGGACTCTGCTTTAGCCTATTCTGGGGTGTGTTTCCAAAAACCATAGTTAGTCAACTAAAGTTGCAAGTTTCATCATTACAAACATAGTTCACTGATTTGTGTTTTCCAAATCCGTTGTTCCAATGAACATTCGCAAACTGCATCACAAACTTGTACACCTGCAGCTACACCTCTAGAGCTGTAGATAGAAGCATAGTTCATGGCTGTGTTCTATTACCAGTTATCCCTTCTATGCCCTATTCATTTAGAACATTCTAACATTAAAGCTTGGAATGATTTAAAAAACATTAAAGTCATCTCTCTTAGGTGTAATTTGCTTTCAAAGTATTTTTACACTTCAGTTTAAGTGATCTTTAAATTGACAAATGCATCCCCAAATTCATATATATATATATATATATATATATATATATATATATATATATATATATATATATATATATATATATATATATATATATATATATACATAGCATACGTTAATGCTTTTAATTTATAGTAGGTTATTTATTAAGAAATGTATCTGTATGACATGGGCCTGTTGGTTAGAACATTTCTGTGGTGATTTGAATGTGTCAAATTGTAAAAATAAATAAAAAACAATATCCTACTTAATAATAATAATAATAATAATAATAATAATAATAATAATAACAACAACAACAACAACAACAACAACAACAGCAACTAAATTAATAATAATAATAAAACTATTATTATAATTATAATAATAATAATAATTATTATTATTATTATTATTATTATTATTATTATTATTATTATTATTATTATTATTGTTATTGTTATTATTATTATTATTATTATTGTTATTATTATTATCATTATTATTAATAATAATAACAATAATAATAATATAATAATAATAATAATAATAATAATAATTATTATTATTATTATTATTATTATTATTATTATTATTAATATAAATATTAATTATAATTAATAATAATAATAAAATATATTATAATAATAATAATAAGTAAGGTTTTTTTATTTTAATTTGTTAATAAATAGCCTACTGTAAATTAGGCCTTATAACCATGAACGATTTATATGGTTTATATATGAAATTAGAATACCTGTTAGCTTAGTGATTTTATATGGAATATTCTCAATAATTTTTGTAAATGAAACATATACAGGTCTTATATGTGTCGTTTACATATATATTTAGATTAATTAAAGGAAAGATGAGTACATGTTTTTAACAGAACTAATATAATTTTTTTAAAATGTCTGTGCGTGTAAAATAATATAATTTGCGCAAATTTTTTGGGGGGGTTTTCTTTAAAGAAGTAGTTACTCCACCCTGTTTAGAGCATCATTATGGATGTTTTACATTATTACTAGAGTGGTTCAAATGATGGATCTGCGACAGAGTAACTTATGATTTTGTGAAACACTACTCACTACATCGTTCTTTTCCCAAACGATGCATCGTACTATGATAGTTCAGCCACAAGCTATGTCGTTGTTTGGGAAACACACCCCTGCTCACCGAGACTACATTTATTTGATCATTTGTTATAAAAAAAAAAAAAAAAAACTGTTCAATTGTGAAATACTATTATGCTAAAAATGTTTGTTATTGAATATTATTTAAAACATTTATTCCTTCAAATTTTAATTCATTGCATCATTCCTTCAGGCTTCAGTGTTACATGATCAGTTATTATTGGGACTCAATTATATAATATAATAATGTGTTTTTAAATGATCAATGTTGAACATTTTATTGATTTGTAGAAACAGTTTTAAGGATTATTTGATGAATGTTCAAAATAACAGCGTAACTCTGTTATTGACACTATAAAATGCCTTTAATTTGACCATTAAACAATTTAATGTGTCCTTGATGAATAAAATTAAATACATTTGGTACTTTTGAATGATACTATATTGAAGTTTTCAAAAAAAAAAAAAAAAAAAAGAAGGCCAACAAATTTAAACACTGATACTAATTGTAAATGTTTCTTGAACAGTAGGTAACAGTAATATTATAAGGATTTCTGAAGGATCATGTGACATTGAAGACTGGAGTAATGATACTGAAAGTTCAGCTCTGAATACATTTTACATTAAATTAATATTCAATACACAGGAAAACGGTTGTTTTAAATTATAATATTTTACAATTTGACTTTTTTCTTGCTTTTTTCACTATTTTTATTCACATAAATGCAGTCTTGGAAAGAAAGCAGAAAGGGGTTCTTTTAATGGTCATTTTGAATGTTTCTGCTGGAGATCAGGTTACATATACATTTCTCTTTCTTTTTGTGTAAATGTGTTAGTGTGGAGGTGATTCGTCTGGGTCACAGTTACTTCATTAATTGGGACCGGCGGATGTTCTGCAGTCGCAGTAACACGGCAGCAGAGGCCCGGACCACCACACTGAATGAAGAGCTGGGACAGGTGGAGTACATCTTCAGTGACAAGACAGGAACACTCACCCAAAACATCATGACCTTCAACAAGTGCTCCATCAACGGCCACGCATACGGTAAGAAACACAACGTACAAGCAGTTATACTTTGTTCAGATGGTCATTATCACAAAATCACTAGGCTTGTGTCTTTTTGAAAGTGTTTGCTTAGTGAACGACATCCGACATTTGCATCCTGGATAAAAAAAATTAAATAAAAAAAAACTTTTTTCCCCTTTTTTCTATTTGATTTGTAAAAAGCTGAATAGATTATTTAGTTTAAAAACACTTTTTTACGCTGGTTGGAAGTGTCTTTGAATAGTAAGTTAATATAAGTTAATAGTTCTAAATGTATTTACATATGGTTGAGGTAAAAATTATTAACCCTCCTTTTAAATTCTAATTCTTTAATATTTTTTCCCAATTAAATTTTGTTTAATGAAGATAATTTTTTTAACACATTTCTAAACATATTAGTTTTAATAACTAATTTCTAATAACTCATTTATTTTATCCTTGCGATGATGACACAGTGTTGGGGGTAACATATATTATAAGTATAACATATTATAAGTAACAACCGTTACATAATAATATTACTTTTTTAAAGTAATGAGTAAATTAACGCATGTCTTTTAAAAATAGGTAATATTATTTAAGTTAAAAATATATAGTGGAATAAAAGTTACTCTAGGTTGACTCACACACTCAACGAGAGAGTCAGTGTTCTGTTCTAGTAACTGGATAACTCAGGATATTTAGTTTATTTTGAGTCAGATGGGGTATCCGGCATGTTTAAAAGTAAGTAATTAAGTACTTACAGAAGATGCAAACCGTTTCACGGCAGCTCTGTTCAATCTAATGAACTGGTTTGACCGGTTCACTTAGATCTGGTTAAAAACAAATTTATTCGCGAATCGCTAGTTATCACTACAGACTGTCAGAAACAGAAACAATGGCAGGCTGAAGACTTATATTTTTGCTATGGATTCTTCTTATTTTAAACCAATCGAAGAAAAAGAAATGGATTGTTGTTAAGTGTAGGTTATGTGTAAGTAAAACTCTTGACAACTGCAAGAAACAGGACATCAAAAAAAAAAAAAAAAAAAAACAGGATGCAAAGCACTAAACTCACACCCCAACTCAAGCTAAACAACAAATAATTGACATCAGTTCACTGTCTGCAGGTAAAACAATTAATTCGACTAAACTTTAAAAAAAAAAAAAAAAAAAGGTTATTGCTTTTATTGTTGATGAGATGCAGCCACTGTCTACTGTAGAAGCGACTGTGTTTTGTAATATAGTAATATTTGTTCTCTTTTTTCTCAGGAAACAATGTACACATATCTTAGGGCCATGTGAAGAGATTTATTCAATGAATATGCTGAAAGATTTATTTTGATTTGGGGTTGTTTTTTTAATCATCTTACTGTTCATTTTTTTATTGAAACATTGTTAAACATTTTTGCCTTAATATAAATTATTATTTTATGTCAGTACTCTTAGGCTTTATTGCAAGCTTTATCTCAGTGGACAGTGAATTTACTTAACTAATAACATAAAACGTACAAAAGTAGCAAACACTCTACATGCTTTTATTAATTTGTATATACAGTACAGCATGTGTAGCTTTGAGCTCAGAAAGTTCTTAAAATATAATGTTATCCTACATTTTTTAAAGGTAAATGAAGGTGTAGGTTATATGGCTGTTATATTCAGAGCTTCTTTATAAAAAAGGTGAAAAAACACCTGCAAGTTCTGAAAGAGATCAAACCTCAGCCAGGTAAGGAAAAGTAATGCAAAAGTAACTCAAAAGTAATATAACACATTACTTTCCATAATAAGTAACTAAGTAATGCAATTAGTTACTTTTTGGTGGAAGTAATTCAATATTTTAATGCATTACTTTCAAAAGTAACTTTCCCCAACACTGGATGACAATACATACAATTTTAGTAGATATTTTTCAAGAGACTAGAATTCAGCTTAAAGTGCAATGTAAGGTCTTACTAGGTTAATTAGATTAATTATTCAAGCTAGGGTAATCAGGCAAATCATTGTATAACAGTGGTTCATTCTGTAGCCAATCTAAAATATATATATTGTTTAAACGGGGGCTTAAAATTTTGACATTAAAATTTAAAAGTAAAAAAAGAAATCTTGCTGAAATAAAACAAACAAGACTTTTTTTCAGCAGAAAAAAATATAAGAAATACTGTGAAAATTCCTTGCTCAGTGTAACATAATTTGGGAAATATATGGGGGGAAAGAAATCACAGGAAGGCTATTCATTTTGATTGTATATGTATTTACTGTATTTAATTTGTGGAAGGCGTAGGACCAAACAAATATCCAATCAAAATATAACAATATGCTGTTTTACCTGCCTGTCAATATGCGTATTTGCTATAGCGTTGCATGAAACAAAGCTTATTCAAGGCTTCAAAACAACTGAACCAATTGCTTCTCAAAATAATTAACTGTTACAAAGCATTCAAAACACCTCATCCTGGGGACTCCCAGTATACAGTATATTATTCTAGTGTGTCTCTTGTTTCACAGGTGAAGTAGTGAACATTTTGGCTGCTCAGCAAAAGGTCAGTTTCTCCATAATTCCCTCTGTGAAGTCATATTTGAAATACTGTTGAAGATAAAGAGCCAACACATCTGTTTCTTGCAGAGGGTGCAGCCGCTGGACTTCAGCTCTTGGAACCCCTTGGCCGATCGGGGTTTCTGTTTCTATGACCAGTCTCTGCTGGAGGCTGTGATGGTGGGAGACCCAGCAGTCCATGAGTTCTTTAGGGTCTTGTCTCTCTGCCACACGGTCATGAGCGAGGAGAAAAGCGAGGGTAAGCATCTGGAACAGTATTAGAGGATTGATCATCTGCCCAACTCAGAGCAGTTCCATCCAATGAAGCATTTTAAACAAGGAAGCTGTTGGCTTTAATATCGTTAGAAGGAAATGATGGAGCAGTTCTGGATGGGAATTTGATTATTATATCTGATTATCCATCCGTCTTGATGAAGTTCTCTTTGTTTATTTTCTCTCTGTTTCTCTGAAGGCGAGCTGGTGTATAAGGCTCAGTCTCCAGATGAAGGGGCTCTCGTAACTGCTGCGCGAAACTTCGGTTTTGTGTTTCGCTCTCGCACACCAGGCACAATCACCACACAAGAGCTGGGCAAAGCAGTCACTTACACGCTCCTTGCCATCCTGGACTTCAACAACATCCGCAAGAGAATGTCTGTCATAGGTAACTCAAACTCACACTCTCGTTGTTGTATCTTGAGCCCAAAGTATGCCTCGGTTTTTAAATGTTGGTTAAAGTATGCATTGTTGGGTCTAGGGTCCTATCATAAACCTGGCACAATAAGGCTCAAGACGTGTTTGGCATGATTTTTTTTGTTATTTTTAAACCAGTGCTACCCTAATTTTCACATTTTGTGCCACGTTGTCTAAATAGCAAATCCATTTGCACCACTTTGTGGAGTCGTGTGTGTTCCAGTCTAAAAAAGAGGTGTGTTAAGGTGCATACTTGACATGTTGCTATTTTGAAGAACTGAAATAGACTAAAATAGTTTTTCCACTTACAAAGTCCGCCATCTAAATAGCAAAAGAGCCATGGCGCAATGCAATTGACTCTTAAAGAGAATGGGAGATGAGACTTTGATTAGTTTAACACACGTTATGCTCAAAACACACCCATAACTTACTAAGAGAATAAGCACAACCTTGTTAGACCTAGCGCCAGGGCGCAAAGCGTATTTTTTTTAACCTTAAAATAGCAAAAGTGGATTTGGAGATTTCCTTAATGCTTTTGCGCCATGTGCTTTAGATTTTGCACCTTGATCATTAAAAAATAACCACTACAGTCCATTGCAGCAAGAACCAATTAATAGGCTTCATAAAACAAGCAATCAGTTTCCTTCTGTTCTGTGTGTTCAACCACCATCCATCTCCTTTTGTATTCCAAGGTGCCTCTCACAGATAAAAATGACCAAAGGAATTAGAAATGATAAAATGGTCCAGAAATCTTTAGTTTATTTCCTAATTGTTACTAACCCCCTACTCCCACCCCCCACAAAAAAAAAGTCTAGTTTTAGAGCTACACAATTACTAAAGATGATTCTGTTCACATTTTGTTAATAAAGTTGGTGCCCTGACATTTTATCCTTCCTGTCCTGTCTTCCTACACAACACTGTATTTCAATGGTTTTTAGGTTAGGGTTATGGATTGAGGTATAGGTTAGGGCTATTTCACTGACAAACTTTATTCATAAGATCAATTCACAGACAATGTAATCTGATGATTATTGAAGATAATCGTTCCGTGATAGCTGTTTGTAACATTATCTGTGTACTCTGACGACACAGTTTTGGTGCTTTATTTGGAAGTATGTGAAACTTCAACAATTAAAAATGGTTTTACTCCTAAATCACCTCAGTGGAGTGTTTGAAATACATCCATCTGTGAGATGATACAACTGTTGAATCATCTCACAGAAGGATGTATTTTAAACACTCTACTGATTTAGGAGTGATTTAGGAGTAAAAACATTATTAAATGTAGAATTTAGCATGTCGCTGAATCAATAAAAGCAGTTAAATCAAATCCTTGGCTCAGTTTAATTTCCTGGGTCTCTTTTTTGCATCTTATTTGCAGTTTCTGTATGAGAGCACCCCCTGGCCTTTGTGGAGATTTACTAGTCATTACGAAGCCGTGACTCTATGACATGATGTACATGATATTTGCAGGTTTATCTGAATTGCAATCTCGATAAAAATGTAAATAATCACCCAGATACTGTACACACAATGCAGACCCAAACATACATCTAAAAACTAAAAATTTATGCTTACATACTGTAACAAAAAATGGGCGACGCAGTGGCACAGTAGGTAGTGCTTTCGTCTCACAGCAAGAAGGTTGCTGGGTCGCTGGTTTGCTCCTCCGCTCAGTTGGCATTTCTGTGTGGACTTTGCATGTACTCCCTGTGTTCAACCGGGTGCTCCGGTTTCCCCCACAGTCCAAAGACATGCAGTAAGTTGGCGGTTCATTCCGCTGTGGTGACCCCGGATTAAAAAAGGGACTAAGCCGACAAGAAAATGAATGAATGAATGAATTAATGTAACAAAAAACAACAACAACAACAACATTTGACTGTTTTTAAAATCACTACAAAAAATAAAGAGCTGCCACTTAAACTTTGTGCAGTTATCTGTTGCAATCTCAAAGTGTACAGTTTTTAAACATTGTTTAGGCTGCAATGCCATATGGCTTAGCACTGTGCGAAATAGAAAGAGCCAGTAAAATCCCCCTGGGACAAAGAAATCAGGATACAGCATAAAATACTGCCCTGCCAAGCAACATAAATAAGTGGAGCATTAGTGCTAAATTCAATACAGAAAGTGTTGTGTGTGTCATATACGCTCTCATGATGCTGAATTATGGCCCTTGTGTTTGATTAAGTGGTGCTTGCGTTGCAGAAGGCATTTCATTTCTGTTTGCATATTGTCATTTATGTCTATTTGGTCCATGTTTAAATGGACAAGTGAGGGATTTATTGACGGGACTGCAAAAATTTCACCCAATCTCTTTTGTTAATGATTTATTCAACATAACAACAGCCATAAAATGTAAAAAGGACAATTAAAAAACAACTGTAAAACAAGTCATACATTATACATTATTCTTTTTTTTTAACAAGATTCATCATGTGTTTTCATAAAAGAAGTCAGATAATGTTATGACTTTGAGATAATGTGAGCTATAATAAGAATAGAGCATCTGTCATCACTGCAGAGGAACAAGGACTGTAATTTAGTGTGTGTGTGTGTGTGTGTGTGGTTCTCAGTGAGGAATCCTGAGGGCCGTATACGTCTGTACTGTAAGGGTGCTGACACTGTGCTTCTCGAGAGACTTCACTCGTGCAACCATGAAGTAATGACCATCACATCAGACCACCTAAACGTAAGTGCATTTCCAGTTTTTGTTTTGTAGTTACTGTCAGGTTACCTTCACTGTTTGTTTTGAGTCTTTGCTGTCATTTAAATTAAACAACAGCGCCCTCTTGTGGATTTTGTAGTATTTTTTTCTTATTAGATTAACTGTACAGTATATACAATATATACTAAATAGATCAGTTTTTCATCATATAAACATTTGGAATAGTGAATTTCAAATATAGAGTATATGTAAATAAAATGAGTTTGCAAAGTCAGCCTTATTTGTTACAATTAACAGGTCTGGAAAAATCCAACCAAACATTTGTTTTAAATAGTTTTGTGAAATGAATAGTGATATACAATTCTGCCATTATTCTTGAAAATATTTCTACTAAAATTACAAATAATAAACTAGCAATAATAATAAATGTAAAAATTCAACACTTACCACACCATACACAATTAAGAGGGTTTGGGTCAATAAGTAAGCTTACTGTAAGTAAGTTAATATGTATGTATGTGTATATGTGACCCTAGTCCACAAGAATCAGTCTGAAGTTGTACTGTATTGGTCAAAATTGTTTTATGCCAAAATACAATAGAATATTAATTAAAGTTCATGTTTCATCAACAGTTAAGTAGGGCTGCACGATTAAATAGTATAATAGTAAAATAGTATTTTTTTGTTTAAAATCAAGATCACGATTTTGTAAAAAATTGGTGTAAAATAAAGGTTAATATAAGTTTGCTATTATAAATGTTATTTCTCAAACATTTGGTAAAACAACAATAATAATATTAGACCTAAGGTCTACTGTTGGTTAAAATGCTCAATTTTGTATAGACATGGAACGGTGGACCTGAACAAACTTTAAATATGTCCTGGTTGTTAATTCACAGTAAAGGGATGTCATCTGAATAAAAATATTGTGATGTTGAATTGTTATGTTTGAGACATATGCTTGTCATTTGTCATTGAAAACATTATTAAACCTTTTTTTCACTGTTAAAATCAGACATTTGTCATTATCAGATTCCCTCTTGCATTATATTCAATGTTATATAGGTTAGAGTAGTTATACTGACCCAGTAAACATTTATTTTCATGCACAACACACACAATACACTTGTGTATTTTCATGCACAACAACCATTTGGAGGTGTCCATGTTGCTGAGCAACGTATAAAAAACAATGTGAAGACTTGTGCGACCGCCTTTACGCTTCTCTCCTGACCTTAAAAATATATTCGGCTGAATCGTAGATAAGCTGACTTAAGATCGCGTGTAGGGTCGAATCGAGATTGGGATTTTTTTTTAATTAATCATGCAACTGTACAGTATTTTTATATATAGGTCATATATTTATGTACCTGTTTATGTAGAAATGAATACTTTAATTTACCATTGATAAACTAAGCTTATAAGAAGAGACAAGGCATAGCAAGGCTAGGCAAGTTTCTTTATATACTGTAGCACATTTCATACACAATGTCAATTCAAAGTGCTTTATATAAACATAAATAAAAGAGACAAGTATAAGAAAATAAAAACATTAAAATGTGTTAAACAGGTTTGAAAAAAAGGAAAAAAAGAAAAGAATGACATAGTATTGCGATCTGTCAGACGTAACAGTGCTCATTCAGTACAGGCACTTTCAGGAAGACTTTCATTGTTACACAAATTCCTTTTCAAATAAACCCTGTTTTATCGAGTGGGGTCTTGCTGCAGACCTGGTGCAATGCAATCTGGGCTGCATCCAATGCTTTTTAATGGGCTCACCTAAGCCCACCCCTACCCATCACAGTGACGTCACTAGCATCATTTGAGTGCATTGTGTCTGACATTGCATCGCTGAGTGATGCAGTCTTAGCTTACATCATAAAGGCTGCATCCAGATACTATTGGTTTTATCTGCAGTCATCAAAGTATCCTGGACAACATGGACAATGCAGTAAAAATAGATCCTACACAAAAGTCCTTTTGTATACATAGAAAGCATAAATGTAAGAAATGTTGACATAACTTTAATGTTTTAATATCATTTGGTGAAAAGTTGGTGAATGTTCCATCCTAATTACCCATAACAGATACATTTATATAAAATTTACAACAGTTAGCAGAACATACTTAATCTGACCAGCATTTATGTGTGTGTGATTCTAAAGGAGTATGCAGTGGATGGGTTGCGGACTTTGGCAGTAGCGTATCGGGATCTGTCGGAGGAGCAGTGGGACGAGTGGTCAGAGCGATTTCGTGGAGCTGATAAAGCCACAGACTGCAGAGAAGACCGACTTGCTGCTGCTTATGAGGAGATTGAACAGGACATGATGGTGTGTTCAGTTACTCCTCCTTTCTTCTCTTAGTCTTTCTTGCGCTTTTTTATTAGTAAAGTATAATGTTCATTGATTGGGTTAATTTGAATTAGTCTTGAGCTTCTTTATTTTGGGATCACAACTGACCGGGTGTACATTTTCAACTTATTATATGGCTGCTTACATAAGTATACAAAATATTGATTTGAGCCTGTAAATTGTATTAGCAAAGAAAGCAGTGATGAGTTTGAACTAATACGCAGCTTATTAAGCAGCTTTTCACAAGTAATTATGGGGATAAGGGACATTACTTATTTATAAATCTTTCCTGGTTGTTTTCTTATAATCCATTGATTAGCCATTCTTGCAATGAATAGTCAATAATTAAATCATCAATATTACATTATTATTATAGTGCTATTAATACTGAGTTCCTCTTATTTTAATAACAGTAACAAAGACACAAGATGGAGTACAGAGTTTAATTCAGTCTATTTATGTCTTTACATAGTGGAGATTAAAATTAGAGAACTATTTAAAAATGCTTGATTTTTTTCATAGTTATGCAATTTTCATTGTGCAAACTTTGAGTTAATTTTAGTATCATGCTAGTAAAACAGTATAGCAAAAAATACAACCCCAAGTCAGAAAAAGTTGGGACAGTATGGAAAACACAAATAAAAGAAGAAGTGATTTCTGAATTTACTTTGACTTGTATTTCATTGCAGAAAATACAGCTAAAATTATTTATTGTATTCCGCATGATTTTTATGTTTTTTTGTTTGTTTAGTTTTTAGTTTTTTTTTAAAAAAAAAACAGGTATTCCAATTTTGATTCCTGCAACAAATTAGAAAAAGTTGGAACAGTAGAGTGTTTACCACTTTGTAAAGTTGCCATTTCTTTTCACAACACTTAAAATTGTTTAGGAACTAAAGACACAAAGTGATGATATGTTTAGGTGTAATTTTGTCCCATTCTTCCGGCAAACACCTTCTAAGGTGGGCAACAGTACAAGGTTTTTCGTTGTTGCATTTTGCATCTTTAAAATTCGCCACACCCAGAATCCTCCGAGTCCAGTGAAGTCAGCAGCACTTCTGGACACTGTTAACATAGGGCTTCCTTTTGGCACAGTACAGATTTAACTGGCATTTGTGGATGCAACTATGTTATGTGTTACTTGACAAAGGTTTGCCAAAGTGAGCCCATGTGGTGATGTCGCTTATAGATGAATGACTGTTCTTGATCCAGTGTCATCTTAGTGATCCAAGATCACAATTGTTCAGCCTAGGCTTGCTGTAAATTCCTCCTGATTCCTTGAACCTTTTAATTGTGTTATGCACTTTTGAAGTTAAAATATATAAATGTCTTCCAACTTTCTTTAAGGAACATTGTTTTTAAGCATTTCAATAATTTTCTCACATGTTTGTTGGCAAACTGGTGATCCTTTGCTCATCTTCGCTTCTAAAAAAACTAGACCTTTTTTGGATGCTGTTGTTGTACCAAATCATAATTGCAATCACCTGTTGACATCACCTGTTTCAATCAATTTACCTGATTACTAGCCCTAAATTGCAAATTTAATTGAAATGTGTTGCCAAAATTGGAATACGTGTTTATTATTAATAATAATAATCATAAGAAACACATTAATTAATGTTAGCTGTATTGTCTGCAATTTTAGTTAGTCGAAATAAAATTTAAAAATCACTACTTACTGTACTTGTACTCTTGTACTAACTTTTTATATATAATATATAAATATATATATAT